AGAGAGGGGTGAACCATGTGTGGACGCCCCCATTATGCCCCTATTGTGCCCATGCGGCTGCATCGATAGCGCTATTGCAGGGGCCACTGGCAGCAGAAAAGTGCTGTACAAGACACTTTGGGATAAAGGTTTAGTACACCTCTGTGTCACATGAAGAAGAGAGGGGACAAAGCCTAATGAGAGCAGTGAACAGACTGAAAACACACACACAGTAGTTCATCCCAAAAAGGTATATGTCATGGCCACAGCATGATGTTCCACCACCCATCTATACTGGTTTGTGTGTGCCTCTGTGTGTTTGTGTGATGGCTTCCGTGCTTGCTGGCCACAGCCTGAGGATGGTTGCCTAGGACTTGCATGCAAGCTGAGATAGGAACAAGCCTGGGCAGGTCGCTTCGTTCCCTTCGCAGGACAATGGTTGTTTCAGATGCCTGATGAGCAGGAGTCGTGGAGAATCTGTGAGAGACTGGGGGGCCTCTCACAGCCCCAGCCTGACATGTATGCTTTTGCCAAGTTCCAGACAGACTTGCATACACAGAGAGCAGCATTGTTTGTTTTTTTTGCTGATAAAGTATCCTAAAATGCTTTTCTGATAGCTCAAATAAACAAGTCGACACTGAGGACTGAATCTTGTTTTTTTCTTATTGTGTCATTTCCCTGCTGTCCCTGCTTGTTTCTATAGTGGAAGTTTAATACTTTGTAATTTGATTATATCTCCATAACGTAGTTCAGCAATACCTTGATCCTTGATCACACCAAGAGTCTCTCAGCTTGACACCAGCTGTCTGGCTATTGTCAGTACGTGACAACTGAAGAAGTACAGCTCTGGTTAATGGGCATCTCCTATCGTTGTCAGAGGAGTTTGGCCACAAAAACGTTTGATAGCACACACACACACATGGCAGATGTTTGACGAGTGATTAATAGTTTCAACTGTACACTTCAGTGTCTGTACTGAACAATGTGGGCAGCATCCTCCTTGAAGTGTCTGTACAACACAATAGCATCTAACTAGTCTTGAACATCCACCCAAATGGTTTCAAAATGAATTGGGTGGGTAAGGATAAAAACAAAGGTGTTGAAATGTTGTTCAGCAACCTTTCACAAACAGACAGGTTCTGCAGGTGGACATAATGTCAGCAGTGTGACCGACTAAGCAGGGTGGACCCGCTTTAAGCTGGAGGCGGTGAGCACCAGCCCTTCTGAAGTGCTCTTGAGCAAGATCCCATACTTCTTCCAGTGAATTTTTTACATTATATTAGCCATGTTCATATTTGTATTGATATCAAAGTGTATGAAGTGGTACACACTATTGTGGCTAAAGCAACAACTACATTGTTTTTGTCTTCTTTTCTCCACCCGACAGTCCAAAATGTTTTGTTAACCATCATGATATATTAAGAAAATATTCATATTTGAGAAAATGATTAACAATATTTCTTTGGGGGGGGGTATTTTTGCTTGAAAAAACATGATTATCAAATGTTCCATCACTACTCAATGTATTGTTTCAGCTTCAATTGTCATCTGTGACATCTGTTCACAGGTTTCCAAATAGATTGCAATTTACTAATTGTTACATTACTGCATATAGCTTTATAGACTATACTGTACGTAGAGAGCCTATAGGGACAGCTGCCACGTTTCTCACCAATTACACATACCTGCACCAGAATAGGGAATTTCATCTTTGTGAAAAATAACTGTTGAATTTTTTAAGATGGTAAAAGTCATTAAATGCTCATCACTATATGTTTTAAAGTATGAGACGCACAAATTCGAGGCATGCAGCCATAGCCATTTCATATGTCCCTATTACATGATGCATCTTTTACCTCACCGGGCGCACTGTCCGGTCTGGAGGCTGGCACGCTCTCTACTTCATGAATGGATGGGTGTGGCACATGGTGACAAGCAATGAGGCTGTCGTCACTGCGCTGATAGGCGCTGGCGTGCTGTAGTGGTGAAGGCTGGTCCAGAGAGAAACATAACTGCTCTGCCGCGGCTTTGGAGAGACAACGGGAGAAGGAAAGGGGAAGAGAGGAGAGTGAGAGAGACAGAGACAGCAGCGTCACCCCACTACCCAGCGAGGACTAAACTTCTGGCGAGAAATTAGGTGAGGTAGGGGTCTAGGACAAACAAAAATATGGGTGCCGTAGAGGAAAAGGCAAGCGGACTTTTATTATAGGATATTTTATTTGTATACATGGGAAGTGAACAAATCAAATCAGCAGAAATCATTAGGGGGATTAGACAGATGCGATGATGATGAAATGCATGCGAGCTGTTTCAAAAAAATCGCGGATAAATCCCTCGTGCATTTGTGATGTAAAGTCAGAGTGGAATTATTACTTTAGAAAAAAAAAGACAGACAAAAGAAAGTCGAAAAGGGCTTCGTCCTCAATGTGCTCCCCTCCTTGTAGGTGTGACAGAAACAACAAAGGGACGTGGAACAAACTCGCATCAGGACCACAGGCGGACAGCAGCCCAGACAGATCGTTGAGCACAATAGGGGGGGGGCTGCAAGCAAGAGGATGTCTGCTGCTTTTTGCAATATGCAGCAGTCTTCATGTAATTACATTCCTCTTGGCGTCTCTCGGCTGCAACGGCCGGGAGTGCTTTTCCTCTGGCAGGGCTTCACTAAACACGAGCGTTTAGAAACGAAGCCGATAATTTGAGAACGTTCAAGTCCAGACTGAGACGGAGCAAAGTGTTAAAACGTGTGAGTTGTGATTCGGTGTTGTCATCCACAGGAATGCTCTGAAGTGATTGCATGTGTTTGTGCCTTGCAGTTGAATGAGGAGAGGCAAGAGACGAGCGCTGCCCAGAATTTAAGTGAAAGGGAGCAGGAGCAGCGGAGCGCTGTGAGCTGAGAGCGGACGGCGAAGGGGGAGAAAGACCTGCAGCGATTCCAGAAGTGAATGTCTCTTAAAGGTAGGAGCTACGTGGACTGTGACACACACACACACACACACACACACACACACACACACACAGCCCGCTCTGTGTCTTAACTTGTCAACTGTGTATGCTCGCAACTAAACGGTCTACAGCGCAGACCACATGTGGATAGATACAAGGTTGTATAACGGTTGAGTTAGTTTGGGTTGCTCAGTTTTGCGCTTATGGACAGACCTCAGGTTGAACTTGCCTGACATTTAACTTCTGCTCCGGACAATATTTGTTAAGCTGTTTGGGAGATGAGACCCGAAAAAAGACACTGCAAGGCATCCATATTTGGTCATTTGTCTGACGTCTAAATTTGCAAAACCGTTATAAAACACAGCTCTCGTATATTTTATGTTTAAGCTAAAAACTTAAGTTTATTAAATCAATTTGGGTGTGACACCTAAAGTCAACCCCCCCCCAAAAAACTACATTTATAAAAGCCATGGGGCTTCTGCCGTAAAGGGTCAGTTTTATTTTGTGCCGAGTCAACTATTTTTTAGAGTGTAAATATATTGAGATAAAAACTGCATACTCACAAAGAGATCATAACATATATCATGCAATGTTACAATGAGGAATGATAGCAATAACATTTTAGTAAAAAGCAACACAGATTACTTTTTATGAAAAGGGAAATTATAATTCCATGCAGTCAATATTATAGTTCAATGCTGCCAAAATACTTCAAGTGCCACAATCGAAATATCAGAGGCAGTCTTTGAAAAGTCGAGGTTGCTTAACTTGGTTAAATACAGAATCAGACATATCCACCACCTGCAGCCTGGATGAGTGAGTCCAGCTTGAAGGCATAGCTGAGGTGTGGAGTCACTCGGTGTCTACAGAGCCAAACAGTGGCTGCTGTAGTTATTGTATATGCTAAAGCACACAAAGGCCAGAGCATGGAAGAAAAATTGGTATCCCTGTCAACAACCCAAACAGCATCCAGTTACAGCTACTCCAGCAATGCCCACAAGAGTCGAATATTTCCTATTTCCTATTATTCTTTCCTCTTCCTTTTTCCAACACTGTGTGCACAGAACAGATGGTGGGTGTGGGGGGATGGTCTCAGAGTTGACATCAGTTCCTCCGCTCTGTCCCACTCCTCGATGTTTTTCTATCAGCTGTGGAATTTGAACCATTCTTCCTTTGGGTTGAGGCCCATCCCTCGTGTCTGCCCCTGTTCAGAGGAGTGGGTTGTCTCCAGAGGTGGCTGTGAGTGTGTGTATGGGTAACTGGGGCTTTCCAGTAGAGTTGCACACTAAACATTCCTGGTTGCCGGATGGCCGTCTAGAGGGCCAAATCCACACAGCTGGGAGTCGTATAAGAAGCCTTTGTGTGAGTTGAGCAGTATCACACGCACAAACATGCTGACACACAGAAATACACAGAGTCTGGTTCGAGCACACACCTCCCCTCAACAGGATCCAGAATGACTTGGGGATGTGAGATGTGAGCATGGGAAGGCTAGTTTGCATTGTTTGTATGTGCATACATGTATGTATGCAAGGATTTAGAGTTGCAATTATTAAAACGCTAAAGCAATCCCAATTGGAAGACACTCAAATGCACACCCTTGCACGCTAACACAGGCATTCACACATCAAAAAGAAAAAAAACTTAAAACAGAGACTCACAGTCACTGTACAACAATGTCTTCTTCTCTTACCAGCGCCACATGATGTTTGTCCTCTTGAGTAAGTTTTGGAGAGAGTGAAAAGATGGTGGTGGGGGTGGTTGGAGGGAGAGAGAGAGAGAGATAGAGAGAGAGAGGGAGTGGGAGAAAGACAAAGAGAGAAGTAAGTGATTGTGCTGGTGATGGCAACTGTACAGTTTGTTTCTCTCTTATTGGCTGCCTCTTTGGTTGTTTTTTAAACAGGGTGTCAGTGAGCAAAGAATGTGTATGCAAGAGGAGGGGAAAGTTAAGGAGCATAGGCCTTGTGTGCTGGGAGAAGAGAGGAGAGGCGAGGAGATGAGATGAGAGGAGAGGAGAGGAGATGAGATGAGAGGAGAGGAGAGGAGATGAGAGGAGAGGAGAGGAGAGAAGAGAGAATAGCTAGTTTGAAAATGAACAAGAGAAAAATTGAGCTGCAGAGAGGAGAAAGAATGGAGGACAAGAAGTGCAGATCCTGAGGAAGAGGGACACGAAGGGGGTTTGGCTGAGGGGAAACTAGAGCAGAGCATGCTGAGGGAGTGACAAAGAGAGAGAGAGAGACTGAGAAAGAGATCAAGTGAGAGAGAGTATGTCAGGCGCTAGACTGCGTATAAACATGTTAAATCTGAGGGCAAAACCCTGCGTCTTTACCCACTTCCTCTCCTAAGTTTTAAAATAAAAAAATAAACATCTTAAAGAAAAAAGCTCTGTTAGCTTCTCAGGGCAAATAAAAAACTCAACTGTTTCACATGTAAAACTCCTTTGAACATCTGTCTTAACTTCCTGTAATGTGGTAATCAAGTCACAAGCACTCTCTCTGTTTCTACTGTGTGTGTGTGTGAATAGCTTATCGGCCTCTGCGGCTGGTCTGAGTTACAGCGAGTAAACAAATGTCATCAATAGTTTGCTCCACTAAACACTGAAAACAATATTAATACAAAATCAAACACCATGTGCCTGCCACAGTGTTTTGTACATATACTCCTGATTTCATGTAGGCAGGAAGTAAAGCACATCTTTACAAGGCCAGACAGCTCATGTGTGAGGCAACGGGCTGTTTGTGTGTGGTGAGAGACTCGGATAGGAAGGTGTCGCGTCACCAGCGAGGTCAGGACAGGGCAGGGTCGGACCAAGAGGGCGAGAGGAGATAAGAGAGCCACTTCATTTCAGGGACGGTGTCTTCATCCGGTCGTGGCCGGGCTGGGCCCGAGGCCAAGGGGTTGTGTGTTGAGATCCAAGATGGCTGCACTGACAGGGAGGCTTTACAGAATATGGGAAAAGACTTCTGGGCTGAAGGTTTTTATGCAGCAAGAACCGCTTCATTTTTGTATGATCAGTGCATTCAGGTTGTATTAAAACAATTTTAGTGGATGTTTCTTGTTGTGACTTTATTCCCTTCAGGTTCTGGGTCGTTTTCGGTGGACCGTCACCTGTAGGAAAACTCTCCCTGCTCACATGTTCGACATTGTGCAGCTTCAGAATGACTGATTACCACAGGCCTGAGATAGGACAAGGTCAGGGTCAGGTAGCATTCCAGTGGAAGAGGAAGCTGCTCTTTAACGAAAACGACAGGTGGATTGATTGGGACTCGGAGGTCTTAGGCCAAAATTTTCCAAAGAGCACAGACACACTTTTAATCATTATTAGCATATAAAGGTTGCTGCTGCTGTTTCCCTAACCCTAACCCCTTCACCCCCACACACAGAAAATTACATGTGAATAGTTCCGTCTTCAGTCCTGATGTCTGTTTCATCAAATCTATGTTGCTTACTGAGTTCATGTTTGTGGGTACTTGCATGTGGGCACCTGCATGTGTGTTCAGAAAGAGACAGCATGTTATGCCACAGACACCAAGAGGCACAGCTTGGTTGCTTGGCTCTAGCGCCTCTCTATTTATGTTCATGTTTGTGTGTGTGTGTGTGTGTGTGTATGCGTGCGTGTACTTCTGTGTATCATGGTGGTGGTGATGTATCGCTGCAACAAATATATCTGCGGTCCAGTGTACATATTTTGGTATGTTTGCATCTCTGAACGCAATTTGATCCCTGGGTGTCTCTTTCTTTCTCTCTTGTTTGTGGTGGAAAGCCGATCCCCTTGGGTGAGTTGGCTCCAAAGTCATATGACTGAGGATATGCCAACTAAATATTCAAATGTGTGTGTGTTGAAATCACAGATTGCACTTCCCACCATAGGAAGTTGTCTGAGGTTTTTATACAAGTTGTTGTATGTATATTGAGTGCTACGAGCAGGGTTGGAAGGGTGCGGTTGTCCTTCCATCCCCAACAGGATTAAGGAGGCTGACCCACACACTGGCCACTTCCCATGTCTGTGAGGGATCAAACAGCCCCATATGTCTTGCTTCTGTGTTGTTCACACGCAGTGCATCTCTAATGTCTGTCCACCTGCCTTAAGTGATAACTCACATCCCATTACATACACTATACTGTCATTAATTGAATTAACAAACCCCAATTCAAACCCTCAGCAACATCAGTGACTGGCTGTGCTCGGGTGAGAGCGGGAGAGTTTGTTAACAGTTCCATTTTCTTGTTTGTCAGACGGAGAGAAAGAGAGTTGCCACTGCATGCGTAATGCCACGTAGACGTTTGCCCTCATGTCATTTTAGCACTGCTTGCCGGTGTTACTGGGAAACTTGTAAATGTGATCAAGAACAATAGTTAAGTGTTCTCGTTCAGTTTTCTGTAACCTTGGGTGTGGTTTGCCACCTAATTGCTTTCATTGTACCCAGAAGTCTTTGTACATTTTCCTCTTACACCGCTCCTTACTCTGCCTTCATCGCATGCATCCAAAAATCTCCCAACACACCCAGACTCATACACACAGACACAATACGAAAAACCCAATGACTCACATGCAGGACCACATTTGGAAACACAAATAGACATAAACACATTGACACATGCATATGCTCTCTGCCTGTCTCTAGTAATTACGAACTTAAGGCTTTTAACTAATCTGTGGTGCGAGGAACGCCCAAGGGTGCCATTCCTGCTTATCAGGGTCAGACCAGTTTCAATGTTGGCCAAGGCACTCATGAAACCACAGGATTTTAATCGGTAATTGTGTTCTTGTTCGTGTGATTATACCTGTCCACGAGTAAAGGTGTTTCCTTTCAAATCTATATATGTTTTTTGTTCTTTGTGATTGTAATCACAATGAACCGCATGCCATTCGATCGAGGGCTGCCCATTTGTTTTGCGGTTTAGGAGGCTGATGCAACCTGACTGACACTCTCTGTCTCTCTCTCTCTCTCTCTCTGTCTCTCTGTCTCTCTCTCTCTCTCTCTCTCTCTCTCTCTGTCTCTCTGTCTCTCTCTCTCTCTCTCACACACACACCAGAATGGACGAATCAGATTTACTTATGTTCTGTCATCATCCTAGTCAGTGTTTGTCTGACTCCCGTCTCTGTGGTTTGCTCTCTATAAAAATCTGAAATCGACTCGCCATAATTTATGTGGTTTTGCGAGCCAGTTTCAGCTTGGATCTATTTGTAATCATCGCATACTTCAGGAACCTTTTCCTGAATTAAAACAAATCGAGAGGGAAAAAAAATCATAAAACTTAAAAGTCAAGTTGTTGCTTTTTTTTCGATAAATGAGAGAGTAGTATAAAGCATGATGATATGTAAATCATTATATATATATCGTGAGTTATAGCTTGTAGATCTGTATAGATAGTCTATTACTTTGTAAAGTTTTTCTCTCTCTGTTTCTCACAAGAATACGTCACTCTCATTTCAACATAAATATTTAATCAAAATCATCAATATCATTCCTATTTTATATCCTGTGCTTCTTAATACCGATGCATTTTGCAACAGAGGTCCTGTTATAAATAATTATTGACTTCCTGAGTGTTGTTATGCTGCTCCATAATAGCTGTTATGGTTTTTCCCCTCACCGTAATGATCAATAATACAGTAGGGACATACTGTTTATCTAAACTAAATGGTTAAAAGCCATGTATAATTGTTTAGGACATTTTGAGATAAGTAAATTACATTTTGCACATCCTAGTGTGTCTGATCTGAACATTTCTCTGGTCTGAAGTACCTCTGTTCACAAGTGGTTTGGATTAGCTGGGATCAACAGTTATGCACAAAGAGCTTCCACCCCAATGCCCCTTGCCCTTATTCATATGATTAAAGCCCCATGTGGCAGTGCTGCAGCTTTGCAATGAATGACATGTGGTCGCAGAGCGAGGTGACTATTGTATGCCGGTTGTATCAACAAAGCGCAGCAGTGCGGAAACAACCGGACACCAGTATAGATTTTTCCATCACGCTATTTTAGGATGCAGACTGTGCATAGTGTATCAGTTGTGTGTCAGCATCTGTGTGCATGCATCTGCCATCTTGTTTAACGATATTCCCGCAGTTGGAGTTGCATGTTGAACTCCATTATGATTCAAGCAGTGTGTAGGGTATTCCACTGCTGTCAGGTGAAAATCATATCTCTATATTTGGTGATTTTTGTGGCCAGCTGAAGGATTACATAGCTCTTCTTAGCCAAAAAGCTTTGACCTCTGAGGGTTACAAAACCCACTCAAACTTTCTCAAAGCGCCGTTGGATGAAGTCAAACCTGCATTTCCATTGAGATAAATATGTTGCTGTTTAGCTCTGTCTGTGAGATGCAAGGTTCAACACACAACAGGTTCGTTTTTGTTTGTGCAAGTGCGATACAATATGAGGAACTCTAACTAACAGAATGGATAAACAACATGCAGGGTATTTGAACTAAGCACAACAAAGGACCTTCCTGTTATGCCTCAGCTCTCTGTAATGTGGTTTATTTGTCTGTGACTCAGTCTGTCTGTGATTTTTGCTTTTTACACTCCTGTTCTTTGCCTCCCCTCCGTTTCCTCCTCTCTATTTCTGTATCTGTGAGCAACAGTGTGTTTTAAATAGAGGCACACTGAGACTGTTTTTCTTAGCCTGATACCAATATACTGTAGATATTTAGGATTCGTTATGTTAAAAAAGGACAACATATTGGTAGATATCAAACTTTTACATTAACACTCATCCTTGACATTTGGTTAATATGTGGAAATGTATTGTGTTAGATCATTTACAGTTAAATAAACTCACCAAACAGATATAACAGTTACACAATACTATTTAATTTTCATATCTGGCAACAAACGGTATTCGGCTATACTGATATACTGTATCTTTGATAAGCCAGTATTAGCTGAAAGCAGCATGTAGTATTCAAGCTGTAGTTGTTACAGCTTAAAGAGCTGTGGTTCTCCACTGTTCTCTGATTTCTTCTTTATTTCTTATGGATTACTGGATACTTGTATCTCCTTAAGAGTCTAAAAGTTATTCAAATAAAACTATGAAAATAAATCCATCTTTAGTTTAACTGGTTGCCACTGGTGGACATATGCAACGTGATGAGAGGTCTCAGTTACTTTGCTTCATTTTAACGGGTCACAAGCCAAAAAGGCCGGGAACCTATACAGTACTTTGCAGAGTGTGCTGGGTTGATGTACTGTGTGCAGTGTAATCTCTGCTTCCATGTGCCAGACTGAAGTCCAGAGGTATTTGGCTTGGCTTCAGTTTGTGTTTGATCAGGCTGTTTCTGGAATAGTGACTGACCTGTGCCGAGGTCAAATACATCTCTTTCCTCACAACATTTGCCTTTTTCCTCTGCTCCTGCCCTTCCCCCTGGTTACTGTCACATTGGTCAGCACTTTGCACAATTTCATTCCACTACATTCAAGAACTAGAAATATACCAATTTTGCTGCCCATGTATTTTAATGCATTACCAGATGATTGCAACTTAAACAACCAAAGAAGATTTTTCTTTTTCTCCCCTATGCTTCAGAGGACTGAAAGCTCCATTTGCTTCTTGTCCTGTTTGTTGTCTGATCTCAACCTCAGTCCAAAGTTTACTCTGATACATCCTCACCAGAGTGTGAGTGTCGGCAGAGCTGTCTGAGGTTCAGAGAGGTTACCAACATTCCCAACATCCCCACAGGTAGCAGCAAGGTGTCAAATTTACTTAGATTGCAAGTATTGTTGGAAAAACCTCCTGGCACATGACAAATTACAGGACTTGGTTGTTTACCACCCATTGATCTGCCATTAAGGGGCTGGCCAATAATGCTCGTAAATGTATCTAGAACACGATGTAACCCATCACAGTAACCCATCTGAAACAGAATGAAGGCAGATGTTGCCTGCTGGGTCAGTTGAGTCATACTTTCCCCTAACACTATCAGATACTAGCACAACAATCAGAAATTTGAGATATATCCTGTATTTGGCTTATTCCCTATTTCCTGCAAATACATGGCCAAAGTTATGTGGTGACTGTTACACAACGACTATTAACAGTGGGGTTTAATGGTAAGTTGTTTTTTAGCTGCCTAACAGGTCATCAGTAAACACCAGGCTTTAGTCTCAGTACTTTCAGTATCTTCAATAAAAGAGAACAGGGTTTCATTCTGGATATTTCATACTGGCATTGAACTGTTATTCAGAAAAAGAAAAAAGATATACTGTATATATTGAATAGGAATCATATATTTAGGCAAATGCCACAATAGGCCATACTAAAGTAAACACCAGAAGAGTTGAATGCAAAAAAGTGCGACACATACATCATTTTTTGTTAAGGTTTACATGTGGGGTTTCATCTTTTACATTTGTTAAAAAGTATTTCTAAAAACTCATCCAATTACATTTACCGAGCTATCTCCATATCAACGAGCTCCAGGAACGAAATATCCCATTTAAGGCACTTTGCAGGTCGACCATGATAAGCTCCACTCTTATCCCTGCTGATGGATTAACTAAAGGACAAATTAAAAAATGGCTAGGGAATATATCTGGTGGATTAAGTCAATTTCAAAACTGACATTGAACCCATGTCGTGTCTGGGGAGTAAGTGTTATAAATCGAATCAGACGTGGCATAGAGAAGATGTTCAGAGGATTACACTTGTTAAAGGCAGGATGTAGCAAAGAGGTTTGACATGGTTATGACCTTAGAGAGTCAGATACAAGCAGGTACCAATCCTTCTCTATTTCTCAGAATTTAGTGCTGTGCTTTGTCTTTCTGTCATTTGGTGTGTAGTCCAACATCTCTAAGGAAAGTGTGGACGGATACTGAATAGATAACTAGGGGATGTACTACATTTGTTTACAGGTGCATTGTCAGTATTGCTATTTAATTTATAAATATTGGTATTTAAATGCACCCCATGGGTAACATTATACCAAACTGCATACTGATGGTAGCATCTCACATTTTTCATAGTTTTAGACCAGGGCCACTGGTCTGCCAACAAGATCACATCAGACTTTCTATAGTTGTAGTTATATGTCTTCTCCTGCAGTCCATGTCTTTATGGCCTGCTGAAGTCTGTTCCCTTGCTAACCTAATTTGTGTCCTAGTCTTCCTACTCTCCTAGCTTTAGCACGTGTCCTATTTCCACCTCCTTCCTGATCTCCATCCCCATTTCCACATCTGTCTCCGCCTCATTCCTCGACCTGATTCTCATACCTCACCTTGACGTCATTCCAAACCAGACCCTTGACCTAAGCACAGCTGATCTTCATCCCTATCATGCCTTCAGTCCTGCGCAGCCAGTGAATCCACCAAGGAGATTCTGAACCTACTGGCTCAGCATGCACTTCCCAAGTTAATTAAAGTGATCTTTCACTTTGGTGGACTTTTAGCTACACCATTTAGTGCCTCTTTATGTCAACCGCCACTGCGATCGTTACAGAATCTGTGCATCATTATATTGATCTTTGAATCTTCACTCTCCATTTGCTTGCAATTCTGAGGAACCTATTTTAGTGTCAAATCCATACATCTAATACACAAGATACAGCATTAGCTGTGCTTAAACAGGACACTACTTCTCCCAAACAAAAAGGCAACACTTCAGGTTTTAAAGTCATGTTTGGATTCAAATCTGCTAATTTTCCAGCAAAGTGAACTATCACTTTAAGAGTTTGGACCAGCGGCTGAAGAGAGCCTTAATAAGATTAGCCCTGCCACTTGACAGCCACAGTTTAAGAGGCACCTCGACTGACCCCTGTGCCTCCATCCAGCACAGAGTGTGCATTTGTATTTGCTTAAGCGTGTCTATATTACAACAATTGTGTTTGTTAGTGGGGGAGCCTGTTTATGCCTGCATGTTTGATTTACCGTTAAAAACCAAGAGTCAGTCAAGTCATGAATATTTTGTGTGTCTGTACATCCATTTGGGGATAGAAAAACAAGCAAGACATGCCTGTACAACCTCAATCCCCTCAGGTCAGAATGCAGACAGTATATCATGCCTGTGCTATGCCAAGTTTGTCTTTATCATGGAGGATTTACGCCACTCAAGAATTTAGAGCATCCACTCAACCCTTCAGCCTCTCAAAAAACCCCTGTACATCTTGTTTATCACCAGGCACTCTCATGTTTTAGGCCCTGGTTTAGGATGAAACAGGCTATAAATTACAGGCAAGGATTCTAAACCAACAAGAAAATAATTTGTCAAACAAAAGGCCCACAGAGGCTTACAAGTCTTGCCTAATTAGCACTCAGAGATGTTTTAACCATGGTGCTGGAGGCCATGCCAAGGAAACCACAGCCACAAAAAAAGCTGAGTTAACATGGCATGGGTATTGTATGCATTGATGGTGGCAGATGTGCTGTGGGTGGTTGTGTGTGCCAGATGCCACATGACTCTAAATGGAGTCTGAGGGCAGTTAGCAAGGGACAGTGAGGCACTCACAGTAAAAATTTAAGTTGGCATTAATATCATAATCAGAGGTCTGTTTATTCTCAGACAGAACCACCACCACCACCACCAACCACACCATACTCTCTCAGCAGTGCTGCCTTTCTCCTTCACTCATCCCGCCCTCCATCCTTTCCTTCTGGTTAGCTATTCCCAGCTCTATCCAGCCTTTGCCCCAGGACCTCAAGCCACTTTAAATTCCCGACATATTCCACTATCCTGGCCCATCATCACCAGCACACACTTGACCTGATCGTACATCGGTATTATAGTCAGTAAACGGGGTGAAATACCTAATGACAAGTGTGTCAACAGAAAGTGTTATAACTTTATCTCACTGTTTGGGATACAGGAGTTCTTGGGCACAGTTTAATAGCTCATAAATCGTTATCACAGACTTTTTCTTTGAATCCATGATTGGTTTTAAGGGCACAGGTCATTCAGTATTACTTCTCCCTGTACAGGGTGCACACCTCAAACACACGTTTTTATAAAATGCTGCCCAGTTTGTGGAAAATGTAATTGCTTGATTTGGTCATTAGATACAAATAATTATAGATATATATTTGTGAATTTTGAAATTCAAATTTGGTCAGTTGGTTGAGTTTGAAATTGGACAGTAGTTTGGTGTCTGTGGTACTCGTAAAGAATGCAGAAATGAAAGCAATACCAACAAAACACGAGAGCTAATTAAAAATGGTATAAAACGATTTTCAAGATAGATTTGTTTTTACAAGGCATAGCATTGAAGAGTGAATACATTCATTAGCTCCTGACTAATGCACTGAAACCGTTTACTCTATTGTAGTGTTTTTTCTTTTTCTCTTGTAAGCAATGGAGTGATATGTCTTCATTAGGATATAATGAGGCAACAACAGCTGGTCATAAACATGGAGTTTTCCAGTTGACTGTAGATAAGACAATCTGCTGATAACTTAGTAAGTAAACAACAACCAGCATCTCTCTTGCACTCTGTCTGTCTGTCTCTTCCTCTACTTTCTCCCAGGCCTTATCTAGCGTTGAATGTTTTTCACTTTAACTCACACTGTGCTAACATGCCCACCACCCATCGCCACATAAGCCGGCTGTCACAAAACACTCTGTTTCATGTCAGGGTGCCAGCTCAGCCAACACATCTCAGCCACCTCTCCATGTCAAAGTATGTGTGTGTGTGTGTGTGTGTGTGTGTGTATGTTTGTGTGTGAGAGACAGAGACAGAGAGATAGAGAGATTAAGAGTGATAGATAAAAAGGCGGTTCAAAGTCAGAGATTGACATAGATGTATGTATGTTTCTGATTTGCACTGTTCTTCTACCTTGGATCATTTGAGAATGCCAGTTTTCCACAGGCTCATTTTACTTCATTCATTACTTCATTCATTCCATTCTCACGCCTCACCTTTGACCTCTGAATTTTCTTCCCAGAGAAAAAAATTGAAATTCCTGTGTTGATGCGTTCTTTCGTGTTGCTCTGCAAAACAGAATTGCGTCATCCTGCCAAGAAAGAAGCGAATGATCTCATACTGTAGATCTACATACGTACATGTGGTATGTAGTGTTTTTTCATGTGTGTGTGTGTGTGTGTGTCCGCGCTGAAGGTAGAATTTAATCTTTGATACTGTTATCAGCTCCATGGTGCTGGAGGACTGTTTGGAAGACCCACTGCAGCTCTGACCTACTTGTGTCAGTGTATACGGGGCTGCATGTAGACTGTTTTCCATTGAGTGTGTGTTGTATGTGTGTGCTTGGGATAGTGTGTGTTTGAACTCTCTGTGGACTCGGGGAGTGTGAGAAGCTGGGTGTTTTGACAGCTTTAGAATTGTTCCAGTACAGTGCTGAGGCAGGGGGTGTGCAGGCCTGTTGGATATTTGGGTGAGCTGTAGGGGTGAGAATAGGGCCAGCGGAGGAGTGGACAGGAGGGGATGAGATGAAGGGAAGAATTTCACTCCAAAGTGCTCTACGACCATAACATCATACCTGCTATTCATTGCTTAATACTAAATAAATGTATGATGTCTGCTAAAATCAATCCATTCGAGCCCAAAGGTAACCATAATGTAAAGTAGAGAATTTCACTGAAACACCTGTAATTCATACTTTGTATGAACAGGTGTCACATTTTAAATATGGTGTATCGTTGATTGCAAAATGAAGGCCTACCTACATGTTTGATGAAGACTGAGGGGAAGGCATTTACAGAGGTAAGATGAAAGTATTGTTAAAGGTAAAAAACGATATCCACAGGATACCAAATTGGGATTTACTGAACTTGAACAAAATATTTTTTACCTAAATAAACAAATCCAATCCTTCAATAAAACTTGAGGAACATTGGATGGCGTTGAATATACTGCAGAGTAAACTGAGTATTTGTCTAAGCAGCAGGACAATCCTTGTTGAGGTAGTTATGCCAAAGAATGATCTCAGCTCATTCTCCCAACTTTAATCTCACCAAAGTGTAAAAGCAATGGGAGTGGACTTCCCACACAGTTAATAAAAGAGCGATAAAGCTCAAAAACACAGCCACTCAGTCCTCTCTGTACTATAGCTGAAAAGGCCAGACATAAGCTCAGCCTGTGGTGCTTGAGAGTTCTCTCACAAGTACACCTCTCCACATTTCTGAGCCCGCTCAGTGCCAGTGCTGTTGAACCCCTGCTTTCTCCAGCAGCATTCCGGTCCATCTTTCATGCTGTTTCATTCTGGCCATGCCAGCCAGGTCAGGGGCCAGAGTTTTCTCAGGCCTTCAAGACAGCACTGGACAAATAGATATACAAAAAAAACATCTCCACTTAGTTGCACATTAAAATCTTGTTCACGTAACTGTGGTGTTGTTGCTGGTGTTATTGCATGTTGTGTGCAAGAACATACATGAAAACACAAGAGTTTGTGGAGACAGACTAAGGAGAAAAATGGTCAAGTAATAGATTTGTGGTCTTTGACTCTAAGCATATAGAGTGGCAGCCACTGTTGATCTGCACAAGGATATGTCACACAGACGAGGCTAGGGGCAGTGGCCTTGAGTGTCAACACTGACATTAATTATGTAGCAAAGAGGGCAGCTTATACTGTCTTTGTTCCAGAGAAGTCAGTACCAAATTCTACCAGTAGATGTCCGTCTTCAGTCTTCCACAGTCACGAAAGGAAGTTGGTAAGATCAGACTGTCCTCGGGTCCCCACATGGCCAAACACTGCAAAACGTCCAAAATGAATTGTAAGATAAAATGCAATCTAATACAAAATGCATTTTCTCTTTCTTATCTGGAATTGCACAATGAAAGGCAGATGGACTCAGAGGAAGGTTCATGTCTTTAAAACATGCCTGGGCAAAGCCTTGAGTTGGATAATATAACATTTACAAAGTGAGGTATTTTACCTCCTGGCAACATGGCGACATTCACTACTCTGATATAATTTAGCTTAACATTCCAGAAGGTAATTCCCTGACATCGAGATCTTGAAAAAAATGTGAGGGGCAAAGGGCTGGGTGTTTTCCACATCAATCCATGATCTGCCTTTTCTTTCTTGGCTCCTGTCTTTTGTAGGAATAAATAAGTGTTGCTATGTGGTATCTAGTTGCTATGAACACCCAGAATAACCACAGAAGAGAAACTCTCCATTGCCTATGAGTAACAACTAAACTATTGCATCATTCATCTGGATAGGGAATGACTAATGTGTATGCGCAAGGATTAAAGGATAAATTAAGCTAACATAAGATGGATATTTATACTTTTGCACATTTATTTTTACATATTTTGTTAAATGTTTGCCATGCTTTTTTAAAAAGTGCTTTATCCCTCGTGTTTGAGTAATAATGGGAGTCATAAGGAAAGAGAGTCTCCAAGGAGCACAGTGGTGGACGTGAATGTTCCACCACCAAAAAGCAGCATGCTTTCCGGAATGTATTGAGTTAACAGGATGGAACGAGCACGCGTTCGGGGCGTATCATTCCTGTATCATTACAGGATACGATTGGCTCTTAAATCCTAATCTCTTATGAGACCTTAAAGTGCTCTTCAGCTCCAGCATCTGACACATACGGTCTTAAATACAAGCTGTTTGTAGTGTTCAGCCACTTCTGTTGGGTGATATTTATGTTAAAGAAAGCAATTAGACGGCTGTTCTCTAGTCCCGAGTCACACATCAAAGTACAAATTGAAAATGCAAGAGAAAATGTAAACGCCAGGGGTTGAATGTAATGTTGAAATGAATGCACACCCCAAATATTTTACAATATAAAATGTCTTTACTATTAATGTCTTCTAGTCCACCCCTAAATGTCACGGACGTGCAGCTGAGGTACCTATTACAGTGGATGTGCCTTAAGGGCGTGGATTTACGCCAAATGAATATTTTTCTGACAGCACTTGAACGCAGCACAAAATGAGACGCTTGAATTGTGTAGTGACGCGCAGTCGTGGAGGCGTGCCTCAACTGAAATCAGCTGGGGGAAACAACAACAGAAAAGGAGGTGGCTCAGACCAGAAACATCTTTAGGCCGGCTATGTTTACATTCCACCCTAAAAAGCGTCCAATTAAAATCACAACAGCATTGCATCAGGTCTGCAACAGCGAGTCGATACTTATTGAGGACTGTGAGACGCTGGATTGAGAAGGCAGCTAAGGGGAAGTAAGAGGAGAGGATGTGACAGGGCACCTGCTCTGCAGACAAATGTGCTCTTATACAAACAGCGAGACCACCGCGAACACCTTTTCATTCTCCGCGCGTCTTTGTCCGGTTTGAGTGACCGGGCTGAACCACCGGCAGAGTGGCATGTGGGTCAATTCCGGAACCGTCGGAAGGTAGGGACCCCTCCTGCAGCAATACAGGGTCACATGCTCCCAATGCATTTCTTGTTGTGCACTAAGCAATCCACACATTGCTTGTAATATCCTTTACTCTAAAGATTATTAATTCATCAGCTGTATTTAAATCAGTGGTGACCTTATTGGAGACTACCTAATGGATTTTTAATCTCTATAATGCCACTGTAATAGTCTCAAAGGCTCTTATATTTTACATGTATTACATTATTTTTTTTATAATCCCACGCGTGGTGCTTCAGAGCATTTCGAATCAGTGTGGTAGTGCAGCGGATGGGTTTGGCACATTACGCAAGATTTACCAGCGCGGGATGTAGGATGATATCCACCTGCCTTTTACAACACAGATGATAACAGACACCTTACCACCGCGCTGAATGTGTGTAACCTGCATTGCGTTCCCGCACACAGGGATGCCAATACAATAGATGGCCTGCTTTGTTGAATCGGTTTCCCAAAAAAAATATGAATGAGCCAGGTGGTTATGAATGGCTGTGGTGGGAGGGTGGGAGCGCACGAGGTGCTTTTCATTGATGAGTGTAGTGATGCTACGGCACAGTATTTACTGGAATAGTGGATCAAAGCTGTGACAATAGATCACGAGCAAAATCTTGCTGTTTGAGTGTGTAAGAATGCACGTGCACCCATTCACATGAATACACGCACACACAATGATGCTGATCCTGTGGCTATGACGTCATCGGAGGAATTGCGTGCAGGTGGCTGGTGAAGAAGCCTCCCCCATTTACCTGGAAATTATATAATTTCCAGTCATCAGTAATTAATCATATCTGCAAAGTGTGGTTCGGTAAACAAACAGTTTTGTCTTTTGGCCAATGTATCTTTCTCCTGAAAAGATGTCTATTAATGGCCACCTGTCTGTGGCTCAACTACTGGCCCACTACTTCTGTTAATTTATCAATGATCGAGGCTGTCGTTATGTGTAATGGGACAGAGCTGTTTATTGTCCTGGTTAGGCACTAAGCCCAACACGTTGACTGTGTCAACAGCTGTGAGATAACACAGTGCAGCACTGACAGACCCACATGGAAGAGTCAGCCAGCATTATATGGCTGCCTTGAATGTTCTGATCTCTGGAACAGACTGTAGTGGAGGGTACCCGGGGGTAATAGACCTTGCAACTGCGTGTACGTATTGTGCTTTATGGGTGTGTCTTCCTGGATCTGAACCCAGTATGTTATGATATGGACCGCTTTGGTGAGAAAAAAGTGCGTTTTTAACAATGTTCAGCTCTGCTAGTGGTATGTTTGTAATCTATATATTGTATAATGGTTTGCTAATTAGGGTCCAGGCTATTGAAAGGACCAGGCTTTCTAGCACATTTTTAAAGTATGTTATGTTTAAATCCCCTCTTACATTCCCAAAGGAGATTTATGGCCCGGAATGTGTCTGCCAGGCAAACTTTATCCACCTCCAGTCCAAAATTGCAATAGTGTTTGGGTATTGGATCAGATACTGGAAAGAATAAGGGTGTGAAATAGAAACACGATAAAGACAAACAAGTTAAGACAGAGAGATGGAGAGAAAGAGAAGGTGTAAAATATGGACAAGGGAGGAGGAGGAGGAAGATGGGAGGGATAAAGGAAATGAGGGCATCAAGAGGAGCCTTCCTGTGTTTACAAAGCATTATCGCAGCAGAGAGAAGAGAGGAGGAAGGCTTTCTGCAGGCTCATGCTGCTCCCAAAGACCCTCTCATTCATTAGGATTTATGCATACATATCGCCGTCTGCCACGGTGCGCACAGTAATACCAGTGCCATCTGCAGTGGGTGAGGCAAGTGCGTGCCGGCATGCTTGCGTGTGTGCATGTCTGTGCTAGTGTGTGTGAGTCTGAGGTCTACTGTCAGCCATCAAGAGGCTCCCTTGATGGCTGACAGTAGACCTGGTCTGTAGCAGAGGCTACAGACCAGGTTATGTAACCAGTCTGTGCCAGCTGCGCCTGTGGCAGTCACTGTCTCAAACACCCACATAACACACACACAAACACACACACCTGAAAAGCATACCCAAGTACGAATGAGTAGACATTTTATTTCATGAGGGCATACTTTGACAAATAAATAGTGAGATTAGTTTGCATACATGACTGCACATGTAGCCATAATTGTATCCAGCAATTACACATGGACACTTTAAATATGCAGTCAAGCCTGTGATAGTGTAAACCCCATAGCTCTGTGCCAGTGCGCAAGTGTTGACCCATCTATAAAGTGGGTGGTTATTGGGGTCATTTTTTTTTTGCAGGGCTGGGTGGGAGGGAGCGGAGAGGCAGGCGGCTTCAGTAAGGGTGGTGAACTCTAGCCCCAAGGAAGAAGACAAAAAAGAGGCAGATGGGGGGCTGTGGAGGGCTTTGGGATGAGCGGTGGCTGCCAGTGGATTGCTAAAAGTGTTGCATAACAGAGAGAGGGAGACAGAGGGGGAAGTAAATTGGGTGTGGGACGGCTGTCTGTTTAATGCTGCTCCTTGATTGCTATCCAGAAAAGTGCGAGGTCATAGATAGATGGATAGATAGATGACCTCTAAATCAAGGGGCGGAGGGAGAGGTTACTAAAAGATAATGGGGGAAGTGAAGAATGGAATAACTGTGAGCTGGAGCGTTAGATTTGGAGAATGAATACAGAGTAGGAAGGAGAGAGGAGGGAGCTTGTGAGCGGGTCAGAAGGTGAGGTTGAGTGGGCACAGCTGGGAACAAACCAGAGAGACACAGACAGACGGAAGGATAAAGGAAAGGATTTAGACAGGAAGCGTGTAAAAAAACAAACAGTAAAGATGCCAGGAAATGTGCAATGAAGTAGAGCTTCAAGCCATCTCCTTATGAAACCCCCTCTGGCTTTAAAGCAAAGCCATACTGAGACGCACACTGTCCAAATTATGCATGAGCTTCTTTGTCTGTCTGGTCCTCCTGCACCAAACACACGCGCAAAAACCAGAAGGTCGGTGTTTGAGTGTTTTAGAGTGAGTGTTTGAGACCCTGTCACAGCGTCACTGTGGTATTGCCTACACCCATTCATATGTCACTACAAGAGTCAGAAATGCATGCACAAAACAACTGGGACAGAATCTCATTCTCTTTTTCAAGCACCCATTTAATGGTTACATGCAACACTTCTTTGCCCATGCAGCCTCCTTTGGGGCCCTGCTGGGAAGATGACACTGGCTAGCAGATGAAGTCTAGACGTCTGTGTACAGTTCACTATAGGTCGTTGGCTGAAAATGAAACCTGATCTATGCAGCTTCTCTTTCGGCTCCTCTGAGCTGCACTGCTCTGCTCTCACAGTCTCAGGCTTCAGCTCATCCCTCAGTCATGCAATTCCAAATAATTGTTGAAGTTGATGAAAGCTCAATCACTTTCAATATATACCTGAGAGCAGGTGCATATCTATAAAGTTCAGTGGTGTGCTAGTAAACAATTGTGTTATGTGTGTTGACTGCCGCGTGACCAGACTCTTGCTCGGAGCCCGATGCAGAGCATCAGATGGAGGATGATATCTGGGAGCCGGGTACTCTTGATCCCCCTGGGAAACTGTCCACACCGCCACCACCAACTCCGCCTCCTGGTTACATCACTGCTCGCATCATTCCATGCCTCATAGGCCGGCCTTAAGCTCATTACCACGTGCACACACATGCACTCATGCATGCTCACATGCCTATGTGCCTACTGACTTACAGACTCCTTTGGGTCACTATATGATCTCACACTGTTCTCAGGTCTCTTTTTCTCTAACTGTCTTACGCTCTTAAAGAACCACATATTTGATGGTAGAGAGAAGCAGCAGCAGCAGCAGGAAAAGCTGTGCTACGTTCCCCTGAGCAGCCTCGGTTATTGCTGGTCTTGCCCTTTTGATCCCAGTGGCATAACTGACTGATTCTAATGCTGGGCTGACAGTCCCTCTCTTTCTCTCTAAGACTCTAATAATCCCGCCCCTGCCTTGTTTCTCTTGCAATCCCTTTTGCTTATCTAATGTTACATTGGAAATGCTAGGAATTTACAATACTCTGCATCCTCTCATGTTGGGGATGTTACAGAACCCCTTGTGTAGTAGTTTTTTTTCCTAATACAGCACGAAGAGGGCTGCTGCGATGACTATTAGGCAGATAGCTGTTAGATAAGTGCAAACGTTTTTATTGCTTCTTCTATCTCACTCCTCTACCTGTAGTACGTGTCTCAGAAGGTGTCGCAGCCAGACAGGTGGCAGGGGAAAAATGGTATTTATAGCTCCGAAAGGCACAGTTCTATCTGTTCCATATGGACCAATCAGGAAACGGCCTCTATGACGGACACTTTTCTTCAGCTCACATAGACAAAGGTAGGCTCTCTGTGCTGTACTTTCTGGCTGACGTAATTGGGACTCCTTTTGACAGGAAAGATGCTTTTGTTGATGTTGGCAGGGTAAATTGTTGTCTGATGTCTCTGCTGGGGGAAGAAATAAGCTCTATATTTTAGCCGTGGTATTATGAATAGGTTGGAGGTCTTTGGGGACATGGAGGGCAAGTGATGGCTGATTAACAGGGTGCACACATGGCTCATATGTCCGACAATGAATAGATGCCATTTTTAGCTGTTGGTCTGAAGTGTTGCACTGGCATCCACGTCAAAGGATTAGCAAGGCCTTTATGAATGTTTCAGTTGCTCTATTTATGGGGTGGGTCTTTGATCTAGTTGCAAGTATGGATGGACTGATTATCTGACTTCAGGTCTAACTGGGTGTTTGGTTGCGTGCGTGTGTGTGTGTATGTTTTAAAAGTTGAAGTCGAACTGTGTCACATAACCGCCTCTGTCTTGTGCTGTGGTTCAGTGCAGAGTTGACAGGTAGTCAAACTTGCAACAAACACTTTCTTTCTACTTTCCCTTCTATGTCAGCCTACAGTAAATAGGTTTGAACCCAACAGATGACGCAAAGCTCCCCCTGGGCTCCCTGAATGACCTAAAAAGTTATTACGAATGCCTCTGGGAGTGATTTTATTGTCTGTCTTTTGTGCTGCCAAGGTAAATGTTTCATCACTTTGCATTATGTTTTCTGTGAAGCATGCTATCAATGCATCAAAAGGGGAATGGATACAGGGAAAGACAGACAAGAAGAGAAAAGGACAGTGAGCTCATGGGAAGTCTCGCTGTCTTTCTCTCCCTCTCTCTGTGCTGTTACAGAAATAGCTCTGCGGTCCCTTCATTCCTCAGCCTGCGAACCATGTGTTCTATTGAGGAGTTTGGCAGAAGCGTCTGAACACTGGTCAGTACAGCTACGGGAGCCTTAACACAGCCTCCCTAGCCTGCACTGGGCAAGAATTAGAAGCTGTATTGTCCCTGGGGCCAGTTGCTTTCATTGTCCAAATGCAGTGTCGGTCTTCCTGGGATGCATTATCAATGTGATTTTAATATCCCATGAATATTGAATTAACCTCTTTTCGTTCTCTCTCTCTCTCTCTCTCTCTCTCTCTCTCTCTCCTTTTGCCTTTCTCCAGGGCCCTCTCCATGGATATAGACACAGACTATGAGCGGCCCAATGTGGAAACCATTAAATGTGTGGTGGTAGGGGATAATGCAGTAGGTAAGACCAGGCTAATCTGTGCCCGGGCCTGCAATGCCACCCTCACACAGTATCAGCTGCTTGCCACCCACGTGCCAACCGTCTGGGCCATCGACCAGTACCGTGTATGCCAGGAGGTGGGCACACACATACACCTAAACACACAGCCAAACACAGTGTGGAAAGAGCCACATATAGGCCCACTCTGTTACACCGTTGGCCATGTTACTGAGGCTTATTCTGTTTATTGTTCATATGTATCACAGCTGAAAACCTCTCTCTTCAGGCCTATGAAATACAACTTGATTCTAAAGATGTTGACCATGCAGTTTGATATTGTGCATTGTTTTTTTTTTTCCCTTCCTGGGTGATTGCATAATCCTTCAATATCACTAAAACACAAACATCAAAATGAAGTTAAGATATGTGACTGTTCTGCAGGTGTTAGAGAGATCTCGTGATGTAGTGGATGAGGTCAGTGTGTCCCTGAGGCTGTGGGACACCTTCGGGGATCATCACAAAGACAGACGATTTGCCTATGGCAGGTGAGCGGATACACGCACAGTAACAGGCACACCTTGCAACACAATCCTTTTTCACAATTGGTGCATCCAAGACATTGCTCTGTCTTTGTCTTGTCTCTGTAGAATTTGTATGGCCTTGACACAATTTCTTTGGGCTAATATGTGAGCAAATTCTTTGCCGGGCGGTTTAGGAGAAAGAAACCTGACAGACCCGCACATAAAAATGCCCGCATAACATTTACCTCCCCAAAAGTTTTTTTTTTTGTGTGTAATCCAGCTGCCACGCTTTTTAGTTGAACTCTGCTCTCAAGCTGTTACATCCTTCCTCCACCAGACATGATTGGATCATCACTCTATCCTCTTACTCCCTTTCCCTTTATCAAAGCTGCTTTATTGGCATGGAATGCAAAAGTACTTATTGCCAAAGCAAAATCAGCAAATACCAATTCAAACGACGGTGACCAAACTTGACCACATGACAGTAACACAGAAAAGTGAAGATGCATTTCATACATTATTAGATGAGTTCTGTATACATATATAATTAATTAACTATGCCACATATTTATCTAAACACAATAATTTGAGGTTTTCTTTTTTCTTTTCCCACACACATTTGTTGCCATCTACTTTGCCATTTTATCTATTTTATACACATCTTTCATAATTGACTGTCTCTTACGTTCACAGCACTACTTCATAAGCCATAACCAGATACAAACATCAACACACACACACACATGCATGTACACATCACACTGTGCAATCTGTGAGTTCTCACAAGGGTGGGTGGATGCACTTCGTGTAACATGTCACCCTGTCACCTTTTGGCAAGTGTGCATGCGTGACTGCGTTTGTGCATTTGTAGGTTGGATGTAGTTCAGTTTGAGGATCAAATTCCCTCCCTTCTGTTGTGTTCTTCCACTCCCTCAGTGTCTGTACATTTGGACATTGATCTGCCTCTGTGTGTTTCTGTTTTGGTGTGTGCGTTCGTGTCTGTCTGCATGTCCTGTATGCTTCGTCAGCCTACAGTCAGCTGATTAAGACACAGTGCCAGCTCAGCTGTTTTCCGCCTGCCTGCCTCCCTGGCGTCTGCAGCTCCAGGCTTCAACCTGCTCCTCCTCCTGCTCCTGCTCCTCCAGCCATGTTCATCCACTCATTCATTTTGGCCATGCTCTCTCTTCCAACCTTCCCTCAGACTCTCCTCTGCCTCACCTCCCCTCTCCCCCATCTCCCTTATTACCCTGTAACTCAACTTCCATCATTAGCCTCCTCTATACCCTTGACACTTGCTGCTCCCAAACCCTGTTCACATCTTCCTCCACTCTGTAGCCTTTTGTTGATATCAAAACTCAAAACATCACATAGTTAGACAATACCCAGACGGTCACATGCTTTCGTTATAGGAGAGGAACTTTCTGGTTGGAAAAACAATCTCAGCCTGAAAATAGGCTAAACCGAACCTAACCTGAGCCAACCTCAACTCAATGTTTTTTTTTTTTTCAGTCAGCAGAATTTTGTTAAGAAAATAAAAATCGAGTTTTGCTTCTTGACTAAATAAGCAAAACAATATCATATTGCTCTGGTAAGGATTGTTCTTGTAATCTGTTTTAGTAGCTTGTTATTAAGTTTTATGATACTGTTAGACAGACCTAATGACTGATGAGAAGTGTTATGCCATGAGAGTCAGAAAATCTGATTATCTGGGACATCTCTGCTCTGTTTGTTCATGTGTCTATGTCTGTTTCTCTTTTTACATAATGATGACAACCCCCCCCCCCCCCCCCCCCCCCCCCCCCACACACACACACACACACACACTGTTTATTAGCATTAATGTTGGGGGTAAATTGTGATCGACTCGCATGTGCTTTCTCATTCAGACAAACATATATGTACAGTACACATTGTTGACCTGCAGGTTGAACCTGGAAGTAGCTCTGCAGTGCAAAGCATCAGTACTTATGGATTAATCTGGTACTAGGTTTACTTACCTCACTTTAACTCTGCTTTTGACAGATTTATCAAGATTGTACAGGTTTAAAATATTTCTTGGGCTCATATTTTGGTACAGTCTTATGCTATCATCAAGGTATTCTGGCACAAACTAGGGCAGTGAAGCCTAGGTTGTAAAGAAAATGCTTACGACACAAAGAACAAAGGCATGTACACATAACATGACCTCAAACAGAATAAACCATGGTAATGATCCTTTGACAAAGTGCTAATGGTCTGTGTGTGTGTGTGTGTGTGTGTGTGTGTGTGTGTGTGTGTGTGTGTGTGAGAAATGTGATGTAATGCTTTAGTAGTGTTGTCTATGGACTATGGAACCTGTGTCTCTATGACACTGTAGAAAATGTCTGTGTGCCTTAAAAATTAATTCAACTTGTTGCGCAGGTGTATGTTTGTAATGCAAATTAAGTATTTTTATTAAACTTCTTCAAGGCTGTTTTTTTTCTTTGAAGATTTTTAAATGCTTGAAACTGTTGAATTTGATTCCAAACAGGTGGAATTACCTCTGTTTGTTGGACTTTTTACCTGATTTGCACAAAGTGAAGTCAATATTTTAAAAGTTAATGAATAAAACAAGCAGATAAGGTTTTTTTTTACAGTGGCGTTGCCTTTGTCTATTCAGTAAATAGGCCATGTTCGCTGTAGCACAGGAGGGGAAAAGAGAAGTGTTTAGGTGGTTTGTTCTGTTTTCAAGTTCAGGATGTGGTTTAGCACCTCATGTTTTCAGGTGTATACCAAATACCTGATGAATGTCAAAAACAGGAATATATATTTCATTATCTGCAGGCTATTAATAAGTTACATAAGAGATGGTAATGCAAAATAGGCCTGGTCTTGTGCTCCTGGGGTCAAAAGCCCTGTGTTGTTGTGTTGTGTTGTTTTAAGAAGTAGATCATTTAGGAATTATAGATTCTTGCACGGTAAGCATTGTACTCGTACTAAATGATCCGTCTCACTGACACAGAGCTTGATTTAACATTACCTAGAAACAGACAGACATGCGCAAACATGCCACAGACGTATCAGCACCAGAGAATAGCTGTAAGTGCTGCTGTGGGCTTGCTTAAACACATCGGGTGAGGAAATGAATTTGTGTGTGTGTGTGTGGATACTGATCTATTCTTAGCCTTCTCTCTGTGGTCCATGCAGCCTTGCAGGGCTTAGGGATATTTATGTAAGAGAGAGAGAGAGAGAGAGAGAGAGGGAGATGGGCCACACAGATCACCAGCCCAGAGGCCCCGACAAACTCACGCACACACAGTCCCGCCCACACACATGCGTCTTGTGACCCCCCAGGTTTCTGGATGACAATGTCGATGCTCCCACAATGCTTTGCAGCAGCTGAACAAGCTTCTTCCATACACATATCACACATGTTTTAACATAAACTGACAAGATGTTCAGTGACTCAGTATACTGACCTCTTTTTTCTTCCTTTCTTTTCTGTCCCCTTTACTCCATCAAAGGCCGTATGTCTTCTCTCTGCTGACATCTCTTGCTTATGACACAACAAATCTGCTCCTCCGTGCCATCTTTTTTTCCCATCTTATCTATGATCTCTGTTAGGTTATAAGTACATGAAATGAAGACTTTTTCTACCCCTCCTCTCCCTGTAGGTCTGACGTAGTGGTGCTTTGCTTCTCTCTGGCTAATCCCAATTCCCTGCGCCATGTACGCACCATGTGGTTCCCGGAGATCAAGCACTTTTGTCCCCGGACGCCCATCATTCTGGTTGGCTGCCAGCTGGACCTGCGCTATGCCGACCTTGATGCAGTTAACCGTGCCCGGCGACCCCTAGCCAAGTGAGACGCCTTCTTCATCAGGCATTAACAGTCAAATTAATTTATTAACTGTAATCCCAATTGTTCCATCGTAAAAGTATGTAATAGTATTAGGAGTAGTAAAATGAAAGTATAAATATATGTTGTTCTCAGATGAAGGCATAACAAATTGTGTAAAAGATCCTCAACTTCCTGCTTCTCTTTTCCTTTCCTTGTACTTGTACTTTTACTTACATCTTTATCTGAACACTGTCGTCTTTACATCATTATCTCTGTCCCACAGACCAATCAAACCTACCGATATCCTTCCCCCAGAGAGAGGCCACGAGGTGGCAAAGGAACTTGGGATTCCCTACTTTGAGACCAGTATTGTTGCCCAGTTTGGAGTCAAAGATGTCTTTGACAATGCCATCCGAGCCGCCCTCATCTCCCGTCGTCACCTGCAGTTCTGGAAGTCCCACCTGAAAAGGGTCCAGAGGCCCCTTCTCCAGGCGCCATTCCTGCCTCCTCGTCCGCCTCGCCCCATAGTGGGCATCCCCGACCCGCCTCCCACAGACGGCGAGGGCCCTGATTCCCTTTTCTGCCAGCCACTGTGTACAGATGTTCTTTTCCTTCTGCACGGTGGTGCCACACATGTATTTGCACACAAAGTATATCTGGCAACGTCCTGCTCCAAGTTCTATGACCTCTTCACCCTTGATCTTGGTGGATCATGCATGGGGCCATGGTGGGAGGAACAGGAGAGCAAGGAAAACTTGGAGAGTGGAGAGGAAGAGGAGCAGAGCAGGAGAGGAGCCAAGGAGCAAGCTGGGCGCACTAAGAGCCTGGACATTGATAAAGACGGGGTAGATGGAGGAGTGCGGGGCCTGAATCGACCCCAGTTGCTCCAGCAGGGCTCTTTGAGGACTTCCCAGAGTGATAATGCGCTCCCCTCTCGAGCCCACTACTCCATGGGAGCACTGGGGACTGGTCGAGCACTTTCAGGATGGGGAAGGGGGTTCCTGAGTGTGTGTCTGGAGCATGTTGATGATCCCATGACGGGACGACCACGACTCATGACTGTGGTAGCCATGGATGCGCTTATACAGGAAGAGCCATTCAAGGTGACTTTAAAGCAATAAGATTTCAAAAAACATCGTTGTGCAATAGAACATAAATCTGTTGATGTGAATATTAGAAATGTTTGGCATATTACTGCAGGCTACAAAAGCTTTTTGGTGTTTTCCCAGTTGTTCCAAAGCTGTATATTTGACGTCTGAATTTGTTCTGGTTTCAGGCGGTGCTTCAGTACCTGTACACGGGCAGTCTGGACGAGGGCCGAGGGGATCTGATGCAGGTGGCCACCATCGCAGAGCTGCTTGAGGTGTTTGACCTGCGAATGATGGTGGCCAATGTTCTCAACAGAGAGAGCTTCATGAACCAGGAGATCACCAAGGCTTTCCACGTCCGCAGAGCCAACCGCATCAAGGAGTGTCTCAATAAAGGCGCTTTTTCTGGTAAACCAATGTGCCAACAACTCAGTGCCTCAATACTTTCAGTAGCATTGGTGTCATTGTAGCTGTTTTCCATATATGCACCAGTAGGTGTTTGACTGTAGGTGTGTGCATCTGTGTAGAGGATTACGAAAAGCTGATGAGGAGAATGCGCGAGAAAGACATTAATTATTTAGCTAATGTCCAGCATTCTTTCTCTGTCTCTGGAAATGTACACTTTGTGTACATTTTGATCACATACTCGCCGACAAAGATGCATTTTATATGTTGTGGTTTCCCTGGTTTCTGAAGTCCTTTTTAAAGTCATCAGGTGATCTGATGACTGTTGTTTCAGTCTGCTCGGTTGTCTTTTGTCCGCTCTCGTGTGCATCCTGTGTGTTGTGGGTGTGCGGTGTTGTCTGCTCCCCTAAGCTGTTATCTATGCATGTTGTCACAGCATTTGCAGCCAGAGCCAGAGATCAGCTGTCTCTGAATGAAGCCTGTCTCACATTCACTTCTCTATAATTTATCTGTTGTCTTCATGATTATACTAATGGTAATCTTCATATAAAGTGCTAATAAGAGATTATATTGATACATTAAGCAAGAACAACTGTATTATCAGACTTGCTCAACCCAGTTATTATTCAAGGATTGTTTTAAGATAGATGAAATCCTTTGCGTTCAGATTTTGCCCATTGCAACATTATTACACTAATATAGTTGCTGTGTTCCTTATCGACACTTTCTCTACCAAAGCTGTAGTCCAGATTCCACACAGGATTTACTCCATGACCTACTGCCCTGCGTCTGCTCTCCTTCCCTTACTCTGTGTCAAACGCTGTTCTGCCCTTCTGTCAATTTATCTTTCTGTCTGTCTACCTGTGTCTATGTCTCTGTGTGTGTCTGTCTGTCTGGCCTTCTGCCTGTGTGTGTGTGTGTGTGTGTGTGTGTGTGTGTGTGTGTCTGGACGTCTGCCTTGTCTGTCTTTCCCCCTCTGTAGCTTGGGCTTCTGTGGCACTCCAAGAGATGAATGCTCTTTTCCCACCCCGGTTTTAGATGTGGTGTTTCGACTGGACGATGGCTGCCTCCCGGCCCACAAGCCCCTGCTCATCTCCAGCTGCAGCTGGATGGCTGCCATGTTCCGAGGCTCTTTCATGGAAAGCTACATCGAGGAGGTGAGTTCAGATATACCGGGATAAGCATCAGGATGGAGTTAACTTTAAGTTTTGAGCAGGGATTTAGTTTTTGTGTCCTGAATCTTAGGAAGGTAACTCAGGTCAGCCTTTAGGAGCAACCTAAGCACGCTCCTGTACCAAACAACAGCAGCAACATCTGATAAAAGAAGCGAGTAAGCAAAGGTGAATGGGTTTCTTGGATAAGGTTTATTACTTGGTAGATGTCTTACCCTCCTGACATTGTAAATCCTGCAAATGTATGTCTTGTTCTCATTGTGTGCTTCTGGTATGTGAAGGTTTACAGCTCAGCATGCCAGAGGCCTTTTATCAGATTTGACCTACAAATTGTTGTTTCACTTGCAAATGTGGTTGAAACTCTGCAATTACTAGATCCCCGGAGGCCTTGCACACATAAGGAGTGATGATAATGCAGTAGCCCGGCTTGACTTGGACTTGCCCCTTAAAGACTTGAGACTTGACTTGCCAGAAAGGACTTGTGAGCATCTCTGACACACAGACATACTTTTTTTCACACATCCCGTGATAACAGAACTAGGATGTTTCACTAACCTGTCTCAGTACTCAAAGTAAGCCCAGAATAGTACCTCTTTTGAGGTCAGCATTGTCCAAGTGGTGGGTCTGGTTACTTCAGGTGTGCTCTCCCTCCCCTGAGGTTCAGCTTCTGTGCATGTGCAGCTGACTTGACCTAATCAGAGAGGAAGTTCATGTCTCCGTCTGTCTTTAAGTCGCCTCTCCCTGGACTGTGTTGCCGAACCAGATCCTCTGGGGTATGATTACTTTCACGGTCAGTAGGGTTAGGTTACATAGATTCAGGCGCTCAGAAGGATTGGAAGTAATCAGAGAGGGACAGACAAGGAATACAGATGTTGTGTATCCAGTTTAGGTATAAAGCTCAAAGTTATAGAAGGCATGTTAGGAGAAAACTAAACCATTTTTTTTTTTTTGTATTTCCATGCGGATGGCCTGTATTTTATTCCAGAACACACCATGTGAGTGGGTGTGAAAAGAAGCCATTGCAGCTATTGTGGAAGGTGGTGAACACAGGACATCAGCATCACTGAGGGGGCACAGTGTTTGGTGCTGATGGGCTGCCGGTGTCTATGGTTACTCTAAATGGTTCATGTTAGTGGCTAATGTGGCATTGTTTATGGCATGGAGCTGGCACAGCATAGAAGGCAGGTGCACTGGAGACAAAGACTCAAAGGCTGACGGCACAATGAAACTGCCGACACTTGTGTTTATGAGAGTGCATACAGTATATTTGCGTGTATATGTATCTGCATTTTTACGTTGGTAAAACGGCTTTGCAGTGCTAAGTATTTCATGTGATTTTATATGCCAATGACAAGCTGCAGTTACTTATTTCCTTCTTTAATAGGCAAAGGTGTGAAGTGTTGCTAATGCACAGATTGCATTTTGCCATGACATTGACTCACAACGTGTTGTATTTACCTTGAGGCACACATCTTCACGGATAAATGCTATTTTGAAAAGCAGTGTCAGTAGTTGTTAGCAGACATGCTTACTAAAACACTCAACACTGGTCTTTCATAGAAGCAGAGCATTTAGAGCAACTACTTTGACACAGCAGATGGTCCAGTTCTGTTCGGTTACTCTAAAAGAGAATCCATACTGGAGAAAGTATTAAGAGATGTGGATGTTGGAGATTTACAAAAAAGAAGTGAAAAATGACAAGATGAGTCTATGACCCATTTACTCAGTTTTTATACAGGGCAATATTCTTAGACATATTCAAAACAAACCAAATTGTTGATTTCCACAAAATCTATCAAATTAAATGAGTGTAAAAACAGGAAAATATAACAGTTAATGGGTTATCTTTATGAAAAGACTATATCATCATATTATCATTTTGCATCTGTTCTCTTAGGTTTGGGAAGATCATCATATAAATCTATTATATTAAAATGTATAGAACCTGTAAATATAATTGTGAGAGCAACATGTGATCAGCCCGTGCTGTTCTATTTCCACGCTCGCATCACACTTCTCAGTATTTTGAGATTCACACATTTCAGTGGCGATTCTGTTGTGTGATAACATGACTATTCTAGTTCCGTGCAGAACAGCGTTAAGATATGTGTTTCAACCTCATTTTTTTATCATTATCATCATTATTACTCAGAAAAAAAGAGGAAACGACATGTCCTTTTTTTCAGTGCAGAGGAAGAATGACGTCAAGTTTCTTACCCTTTCTCTTAAACTTTGTACCTGATCTGTGGTGGCGGCTGTATGACTCACTGCTTTTCCCTCACCCACACATTATGTTTTGAGTATTTTGAGTATTTTACACTCATTACGTCTTTAAATGTCCAATTCCGTTGAGCTGAGGCCTTTTTTAAGCCCTTGGAGGACTGATATATCGCATTTACAGAAGAAGATTTATTTGTTTGTTTATTTGCACAATACACATAAATAAAAAGACAGTGAAAATGTAAACATCCAACATTGTGCAGGAGAGATTGAAAACATAAAATGGCTCAGGAAGATACATGCCCTATTAGATATCAATAGTACTTGAAAAATGGATAAAGGATAAAAAAGGATAAAAATCCAGTTTCCGTAGCAGTTCTGCAAAGATTGATACAAATGTACAACTTACTTTAAGTTTGCAAGTTGAGATGGAATACAACAGAATCCAGGAAGTGTTTTAAAACTGTCCTTTTGGGTTTGCAAATAATGTAAACTATTAATTGAGCTTGAGGACGGCAGACTGAGGGGACAAAAGAACAGCTCAACAGGTCAGTACAGCTGATGGGTGTTTTCCATACTGTGGATATGTCCACTCATTAATGCTTCTTATTCCCAGCTGGGGCTTCAAGTTCTAGAGACCACCCTTGTTGTGGTGTTGTAACATTTTAGTCATAACGAGAGGTCGCGCCAAGTTGACATTCTTCTAATTGGCCATGGTGGTGGAAGTTGAAGAGCCTCTCAGTGGGTACACTTGGAGAGCTCCTGGAGGGGGCAGGTCATCGCTTCCATTATCTTGCCTTCCTTTCGTCCTTCCTCGGCTTAGACTGCATCCCCTGCCACTGACTTTTGTGTTTCCTGTTTGCTGTTTGTCCAACTCTCAGTAATTAGGACCATTAAAAGGTCTTGCTCTTTTTATTCATTTATGTATATAACTACCAAGTGTGTTAGTGGGCTACACCTAAAAGCAGCATGGCCAGTGCCTTTTGTAGCTGAGGTGTGATTGATGCTATGGCGACATCTAGAGGTTATTGCAGGTGATTGTTTTTATTTATTATAATGGTCTCTGGTTCTGCACCTTTTCCCCACTACAAAACATTGCCCTATTGGTTTATATGTTGTTTGACCGTAACAATAAAAACATGTTTTGCTGTGCATGTCTGGAGTGGTCCAGTCATCACTAATAGTCTCTTACTTATAGACTACATCTGTAGGTATGTCCTATGGTCATATATTATTGTAGTTCGCTATAAAAGCATCGTCTTTCCCAGGAGAACATTGATAGTCGGTCTGAGTGTCTCATTTGTGCAAAGGGTCCGATAGCAGGGTTGCCTGTGTGTGCTTTTGGGTCTTTAGCTATAGCCATATTGCTCACATCACTAGCCCCCAGACAGCGCTTTCATCTGAGCCTAGATCAAAAACACTGCTACCAGAACAGCATGTCCTCTGCCCTTTACCTCCAAATACACACTGCACTGCTTTAATTGAAGTTACTGTCTTTTTTGCACCCCACCCCATTTCTAGCCATTACGCTTACAGTATATACTTGCCGACACATCCTTTTATATTAACTTCTCATGAAAACAAATGTCTATATTTGTGCCCATTTTTCTTTCCTCATGTATTTTTGTTTTGTTTTGTTCAGGTATCCATTCCTAACACCACTGCAGCCTGTATGCGCGGGGTGTTGGAGTTCCTGTATTGCAGTCTGCTGACACCCTGTCCTGGTCTGGAGCCCATAGAACTTATTATTCTGGCCAACCGTCTGTGTTTGCCACGCCTAGTCGCCCTCACAGGTAAAGACTCTCTCTGCAGAGCTAGAAATGTTGCAAAGAGAACCACTTACTCGAATGTCTTCTTTCGAATATATGTTGCAGAATATGGTTATGATCAAGCTTTATCAGGCATCATCAATGACTCAGAAGAGTTGTAGGTGCAGTGAGTTGTTGCTCGTTGCAGATTGCCAGACAGACTAAAAATTTTTGAATAGGAGATAAAAATATCAGTGGTGCATGTAAACAGTAATATTGACATGATTATGTGCATGTTATGCGTCTCCAGAACAGCATGCTGTGGATGAGCTTCTCCAGTTGACAGCAAAAGGAGGTGACATTGATGAACAAGTGTTGGCTTACCTCGAGCTTGCACAGGTCAGATCTTACAAAACTGTTCTTCAAATGATCAATTTATAATTTACCAATGACACATTTTACATTGTGTAGGCCTCTTCTCTCACAGCTGTAATAACTCATTAATCCTCTGTTTTTTTTGTTGTTTTTTTTCGCAGTTCCACAATGCCAAGCAACTATCAGCTTGGTGTCTCCATCACATCTGCACTAATTATAACAGCATCTGCCGCAAGTTTCCCAAAGAGATGAAGGTCATGTCTGCAGGTATACAGGCACCTCGCCTCTCTCAAACCCCTTTCACACGCGCAGCTTTCCCTTCAGTAAAACTACTGAACTACTTCCTACAAAGTTTACTTTGCAGTGCTCCTTTGCACAAAAGTACGTTTTCTGGGTTAAGCACACTGCCAAGGAATTATAGCTTGCTGTGAATTGTTCACAGCAAGCATTTGATTTGAGTGGGAGAGATCACATTTTGGTCTGGAAGAAAAAAACCCTGATGCAAGGAAGCTAAAAAAGATATAAACAGTAGTAGAACAAACACACGAGCCCCTCATTAACTTAGCTGACAAAATTTGTCTTTCAATATCCATCCTCATGTTTCATGAAGGAGTGAATACATTTTACACTCGTTTTATAAATAGTTGGTTGTAATGTGACCATGGGGAAGCCCAACAACTACTAGAATGATAATCACTTTGATCTCATGAGTTTCATGGGTAATCGTAGTAATCTTTAGTGACTTTTGTTCGTTCACTTGTCCTTACAACTTTACGTTACTGTTGGTTGTTTCCTTATGTCACCTATTTAATGACATTATTCTTACACAGTCACTTACTGTGCAACAATAATTGTCTATGTTGATATTTCCCCCTTCTTTTTCTGTGCATATCTGAAATGACACCTGAAATCTTCCATTTTTTTTTAATGTCCCCTTTTCTGTACCTATCTTTGTCCCCCCCTCTCTGTAGAAAACCAGAAGCACTTTGAGAAGCAGCGCTGGCCTCCTGTGTGGTTCCTGAAGGAGGAGGACCGCTACCTGCGCTCTCACAAGGAGCGTGAGCGCGAGGAGGAGATCTTGCGCAAGCAACACACCAAACGGGGCTGGTGTTTCTGGAAGCACCCGTCCTCCTCTCCGCACGTCTCCTAAACGGTTTCGTCCACTAACATCCTACCCAGGATGATTAATCCCCGCCCCCCCCCAGCATACAGAGGAGGTCGACATTGAACCCTCTATTATCAGTAGATAAATGACTCTCAGTGCTACTATGCCTGAATGTCAGCATGTTTGAGGGAATGTATGTGCCTCTTTATAATTGTGGGTGACTTCATGAGTGCATTTTGGTATATGCTCCTGTGTGGACTTAACTGAAGGTTATGTGCGTGGATGTGTGAGTGTATGTTTGCCGTTGGCATGACTGAGTGATGCTTCCGAGTTGAGTGCTTCCCAGACTCCCTGATCTATAAGGGCATGCAGCGTTGCAGTGCACCCCCTTGTCCCCTCCACAAGAGCTCTGTCCCTCCATCAGCACTCACAGTGTCCCAGCCTTTGGGTGATTGGACTGGGAGCAAGGGCTCTCTATTTCTCTCAGTCTCCTTCCTTCACATTGACCTTAATGACTACTCATTGACCACTGCAGCTCCTCTCGGGGAGCTCACTTCTGCCTTCACTTCTAAGTAGACTGTTAATTTGTACACACAGACTGGTGCAAAGGATCCACCCCTCTAAAACCAGCACTGGATTCCCAGGAACTGACACTTAGCAATGTAATTATTATTGTTTTGATATTATTTGACCTTTTTACATATTTTTGATTATCAGGGGCAAGTGGAAGTGTTGAGAATTTTGATTGCCATTGCAACAATAGCACTGTTCTAGAGCCCAGGTTTGGGTGCAAGGGCATCCTTAAAATCGTTAGCAAGTTGGGATACTCCAGTCAGGAGGCTTGATCATTGCTATTAGCCTACAGTTTAGAACTGAAGTGGTCCGTGGTGTCCATCATCCACCCCTGCACTTCCAACCCCCTCCTCCTGCACACCACACGTGCAAAACAAAGCTAAAGACAAGCTCTCCTTGATGCACCTCAGAGGCATTCAAAGTGACCACTCTACAGCAATGATGGGGGTAAATAGGGCTTGCCTTACTTGATACCTCTGCCATTGAGGAATGATGGATGCATTAAACAAATGCGCTTGTTACGTCCATGACCACTTGGTTGCGTCAAAGCGCCTCAGCCAGCCTGCCTTTACACCCCTACACCACTAGGGGCAGCACTGCTCAGGGCCCCGGCACTAACCTTCACACTAACTGACATTAGTTTCTGTGCCTGTCATTGCTTCACTCTAGTTTCAGTTATTAAGATCAGTATAACTTATCCTTGCAGTGTTATAAGAAAGCTCACAGTGTTTTTAGTGCATTTGAAAGAACGGATTGCAACTGACTATGGAGTTTCGCCTAATTGTGGATACCAAAGCTATGATTCTTTTGATCTCTTTCTTCCTCGCTTTCTTCATTTCTGCTTCCCTGCTTCTTTTATTGGCAAGAGGGGATGGAGGAGAAAAGAGAAGGTGGCTCACGGAAGAAGGAGGCAGTATGATATGGTATTTGAATCCCTTCTCGTGGTGGTGTTTTCAGTCCGTGATGTCAGAAGAAAACTGCTGTCACTGCTGGACATTGCCTTCCATTCCTCTTGCTGGAATTGAACATGGTGCTTAAGTCACAATGAGACAGTGTCCACATGAACACACAGACACACTAGCTATTTTATGTTCACAGTTAAGCGTCTGTCTAGTTGTTTAGTGTTTATCTGCAATGAACGTGCAGAATATTGATGATGGTATTCAAATTTGACACACTTTTTAAACTCTTAACAGTCTGCAAGAGGTAGTAATAGGTCACTGTTTTTAGCGTGTGTAGATTTCTGCCTTTACATACAGTGGTTTCAACTTTGTAATGTCTTTACCTGCTTTTGAATTCAAAAATAGTGTGATCTGTTATGCTTCCTTGTTAAGCAGGAACATTATATTTCTTTAGATTAAATTTACAGTCATGAGTGTTGTCTCAAAGGAACTGCGTATTTCGTAAAGGGTGCTAATTTCTTTGGGCTTTAGCACTGAATGTGAAAATGAGACTTTATGGCGGTGAGTTTCTTTTAGCACATCATTCTATTTGTGGGTTTGTGCCCCTCAGCTTTACCCAGACCCCAAACCGTAGGAGATAGATGGATTGTGTGAGACATGTGGTGCGTTCTTCCGTTCTCAAAGGGAGGCGCGTTAAAGTCATTGTCGGCTACCGAAATAGAAGTGTGACAGGATATCACGAGACCCAAGTGAGAATTTAGCTGATTCCTCTGTGAAAAGATTTAAAGTGGAGTAAAAGTGAACAAGTCTCAGTCAGTATTACATGCAACCTACATCATTTGGAATTACTTAATTATTTTTAAACTCATCCCAGTGCAGTGCTTTGGGAATTTAGAAATGAGACCTAAAGAGGAAAAAGTTGGGAACAGTTTTTGATGGACTTCCATGGCCTCCTTTTGGTTCCCTATAGAAGGGATGGATATTAGATGTCTCTTATTGATGGTCGGTATGACCCATTAAGCCTCTTCTCTTGGTCTGTGTGCCTTATAGTTGGATAAAAACCAGCAACATCGTAGTTCAAAGCTGCAGACGGGCTCTGCACTGGTGGACATGATGGATACAGTAAAAACGGCCATGATAATGTTAGACTGGATTGGTTGGTTGCTTTATGCACTCTCAGCCATTATCCTTCTTGAGGAGATTTTTTTTGAGCCAGCTGGAGTCATGCCTGCCGAGAATCTTAAGGCCTGCTGCTTGTTTTTATGCAGACAAAGAAACTTAAATTAAACTCTTTGTAGAGTCTAGTACAGTAGGTTGGTCAAACAAGAATGTTTTCTAGACAGGGAATTATTTGGATGTAGAAGAACTCTCCACTGACCAGGTGATTGATTAGCAGGTTGATTCCTGTATGGTAACTTTGAAACCACTGACTTTGAGCACTGGCTGGCCTGTGTGCTGGGGGAGTGCAACCACTTTTGTAACGTGGTTAATTTGCATGGTGGCCTAACTTTGTCATTCTAATGACACTTGGTGTTGGAATGCACTTTTCTTCCTTTTTGTTGTCTATGAATACCTTTATGTGCTTAGCATGAATTGTTTCTTATGTCAAATTGTTTTTTAAACCTGATGATTGTAGCACGATATTTCCACTTCTTCTTCAGTCTTTCAGAATAACACAACTTCAGCTTCTTGGTTAATGTCTAGTTGGCGCTGAACCACACTGTAGCTCTCTGCGTGCTATGTGGCTTTATGCATAACTTTTATTAAGTAAGCTCAGCACAGCTCAAGGTAGCATCGCTAATTATACATAATTAAATAACATAATTAGGATATGTTGCTGCCGTGCAGCAGTCCCCTATGCTGTTACGGTGATCAGTACAATCAATCTTATTCTTGTGAATTTTAAGATATTGGGCATGAAACAGAAAATCATAAAAAGCTAAATTTCATATTTCAAGAATGCCCTTAATGGCTGAAAGCCAAGTGTAATGTTTAGGTTAAGCCTGTATGAAATGACATGTTTGTGTGTACAACAGTGCTTCTTCACCTTGGGGTCGGGACCCTATCTGGGGTCACTTGGTATGCATGTAGGGTGGTGGGAAATGATCATATATATATATAAATACTGTAGGTTTATAATATATATCGCTACAATATTTATTTGGATATTTTAACTTCCAGTTGAGAAACCCTATACAGAGATGGAGAGGAGATGCAAACCTTGTTAGCTTTAATTAGCCCTCAATATTTGCTCCACACTGACCCCTACAGGCCAAAGTCACATTCTGATGTAGGGTTGTGTTATTCGTCTGGATTGTCTTGTTCTATCCTAACACACCCTTTTTACTGTAACATTCTCCTCATTTATCTTAGGTGGAGCTTTTCTTCCTTCTTAGCATGCCTGACCTTCCTTTATAAATGTGAGGCCTAGAGAACACCTTGTTTTTAGTCGTAGGTGTCTCCTTTCCTGTGCCTTCAGTGAAATCTCACGCGTTTGGCTCTGTACATGGTTGGCGGCACTACACCTGCAGCCTTCTGGGCTCACAATAAAGTTGATTAAGCCAAGAAATACACACACATGTGAGCACCGATATAAAAATTCTTTAATGTACAGTATCTTAGCGTTGTTACTGGCTAACTTCCAATGATAACACAGAGATGGAGCTTTACAAGTTCAGTGTGTAACATCATCTATGCTAAAGAAGCTTAAATTATGAAATGACCAAGAAACCCAGCAAACCAGCAGTTTAAAAAAATAATAATTTTGCACTCTTTCAGGTGCCTGCACTTTCTATTATGTAGCCTAATACAACTTTTTTGATAAGTAGGCTAAGTCTTTGTATTTGCCAGTTTTCTTGATCAACATTTAAATATCTTATTACTTTTTCCACTTTCTTGTGATCTGTCTCTCTCTAAGCCAAATTCAATAGCATACCCTATTGCTTCCACTATTTAGCTGCAATGTACCATCATGCATGAAGTCAGTGTATTCTAATTTGGGGAATGGCATCTGTGGACTACTGGTTGGATTAAAGGCAGATATTAGTTGGGACAACTATATATATATATATATATATATATATATATATTACGCTTTAATTAATATAGTTGTTATCCAAAGTACAGTACAGTGATGTAAATTTGAGTCCCAGCTGGAATTAACCTGCTCACCGTACTGTATCTACAGTATTTACTAAGCCGGTGTATACATGGGATTGAACGGACGGTGAGGCCCAGAACAGGGAGAGTGTTTATATAGACATACATGGTGTGATTAACCCCTGGTCTATACTGTCATTTTTAGGTGGATCGTATATACTGTATAATATTGTTATGTTTGTTTCCATTGACTCATGAGTTTATTAACATTTACTGCTCATGTTATTGTTTTTATTACAATAAAAGGCAAAAGAAAGAGCAGAGCACACCACACACAAATATTAAGGGCTTTCAAGAAAATAAACAATCAGAATGTTTTGCTCCTTTTGCAAAAGATGTTTTGAAACTAAAAATTTGTAATATTTTTGAACCACTGTGATTTGTACAAAATTTAAAAAAAAAAGTAGAAAAAAGTTGGTTTTTTTCCCTTTTTTGACATTTCAGTATTTTGATGTTTGTCATGGATTTTATTAAAAATGTTAATCTTTTGAACTTGTCTCATGTGTTTCTTGTTATTGTGTGTTTTCCTGTATAATTCATAGACTTTTCTGATACCTAAGTTAGTTTTTCCACTTAAAGTTTGCAATTAAATTAAGATATAAATCATTAAGGAGAACATAACACTGATAAATACCACAGACAGTTCTGCATGAGAAAACATTTGAAAATTTGAAATTATATCCATATTCCATATAAATATTCTTTGCTGTGAATTTAAACTGAAACCATTTACAGTACATTGATCGATTTTGTCCTTTAGGTGACACACTAATTTGTAGAAAATGTGACAGTTAACAAGTCAACAGAATAAAGTCTAAAAAAAACTGAAAACAAGAAAAGCAGTTGATTCTATTCGTTCTGTCTTCCACTTGTCGTTCTCAACC